GCAATGGGGGACACTTTCTTGACTGAACCGCTGGTCAGGGATCTCCCTGAGCCGGAAGCCATGACCAGGGTCCGCGAGGAACACTCCCGTCTGCAAGGGGTTGTGGTGTCGCTGAACAAGAAAATCTCACAAGTGTTGGCGAAGCAAGAGGGCGACTTTCTCGCGGCGTATAGAGCTCACATGTACACCGTGCAGAAGGAGCTGCAGACTCTCCGTCAACGCGTGATCGAAGCAGAGAATGTCCTCCAGGTGGGCGATTCAGAACCAAGCCCTGAACTCTCATCGCAGAATCTATGCTGGTAATAGTAGCGACCACAGGTGAATGAGAATTTACGCCCCGCATCCCGCGCTCCGCAGTGCCATGTATTCAAGTCCGCCACCTAGTGCGTGTAGCCATATGCGGTTCTTCACACTGGACTGAGAAATGTTTCATTGCACCACTTTTTGTTAGCCTACATAGCTGCTGTAGCAGAGACATTTTCAAAGGGAGAATTGTTGCGAACTTGGGCATGGCTTGCGTCCATATATACACGGCAGTTTTGTTCCCGACGGAGCGTGAAACATCGGCGATACATTTGTAGGGAAGTCAACACATCTTTTTAGTACTGTACAGGCCAGTTTTGTAGTCCTCCTCTGAAAATAGGGTTCTTTTCAACACCGAGTGGTTGTTGGCTTTTTGATAATCCCGAATCCTGACAAACCTCTTGATGAAGTTCATTCTGTGCTTGCTCTCAAACACGTGCTGTAGTACCTGATGTTTTGCATGAGCTGGTATTGAAAACCAGGTATATGTATCTTGAGGTAACAGTTGAGTTTAGCCGTCAGTTTTCTACGTTTGTTTGCAATGTATCACATATGTGTTCTTTGTTGACCCTGGATCGGGGCTCTTTAGATACAGGGGCAAGACCGTATGGATACTGTAGGCACTTGAGCGAAGCTACCAAAGGATAGGGAAAACATGCGCACAACAAGTACGCCGATCTGTCGGAGGCGTGGACCTGCTGTAGGATCAAACACAACCTCAATGGATTAGGCGTGTGCTCCGCTCGTGGTATGAGGGTTTCACACTCAAGTGGCGTATCGCTGGGAAAGGGTTACGGTTCATATGGGGGAAATCTCTTCCTCGAGATCCACCACAAAATACGTTCGGTGCCCGATCGTTTCGTCCCGCACCCTTCCACGTTTCATTCATAGAAAAACGACAAGGTGCAAAAACTCGAGGACGAATGCGACTGGTACCGCAAGGAAGCCCTGCGGCTCGACAGCTTCAACACGGCGATGAAGAAGGATCTAAAATACATGAAGGGGAAGCTAGAAATACTTGGTGGGTGATGCCAATCGCCTTTCTTTGTCCGTAGAGCGAACGGTATCTGACAAGAGTGATCGTCGCGTTGTCTGGTGGGTGATGTGTGTTGAGCTCCCTCAAGATGACGAGTGCTCTCGTAGAATGTGGATCGCAGCATTGCGTTCGTCACAGTATTGTCACTCGCGTAAGATTGTGTTCGTAGCAGTACAAACATCACTTTCCGTTTTGGTGTATATTCGCGTGTGGATCTTCAAGTGTACCGCATCAGGGGGCAAGCTATGTATCAGGGAAACCATCGGTACTAAACGCACAGCACCCGGTTCGCAGCTATCCTACCGCAACATACCATTTCCCACCGCTTGCTTGCTTGATTTCAGAGGATGACCGCAATTGGCTGGCACAGCAACTGAAGGCCTGCAAAAAGCAGGACAAAGTTCTTAGAGCGGGTGAGCAGGGGTCGAATTACGACGTTCAAGGGTTTCTTGCCGTTGATGTCTGCCTCAACGTGTTTCTCTCCTTTTAGTTCATTGTCGCGGTTTCTGGCGACCAGGACTAGCCTCGCCACTGGAGGCACGACAGAGAAAAGTAGAAAGTTTATCACGAACGATGTATTAAAACTCCTTCTTGTACCAAGTACTTTAACAGCTTCCTTGTGGATCCATGCGTAAGTACTCTTTTTCGAGCTACTATTTCCGAATATGGAGTACAGCAGTACGATTGACAGCGTCACGACGATACTACTCAACACTTTGCAACCCGTGGTTTGCCCGTAGAACTGGGACTGAGAGCGGAAGCTGAGCAAGATCAACGGCGGGTGGTGGGTGGCGAATTGAGCGGCAGCTGTACATCTATCGCAGAGAACGGCCACAGCCAACCGGTGTTGTCTGGGGTCATGGGGAGCCTTGATAGGGTCCGCCGCACTCACCATTCGATGAGTTCACCGGGGTTTCTGGCGTCCGCCCAGGCGGAACGACATCACTTGTGAGTGCCTCCAATTCCATTAAGCAAATCTATAGGAAGACCGACCAGGGCGTCTCGTAGTGTACATAAATAGATTAAACTGTGTTTGCCTTGCGCCTGACGAAACATGCATCTATTTAGTCAATTTTTTAGGGTGGACACAATGACCTGCTCTACGTCGGCGTCATGGACATGAAAAAATTCCAAGGGCGGACAATGTTTTATTTTTGCATCAACAGAACCCACACATTTTTTGACCCGAACCATTGGACTGTCCGGGTAACATTTCGAAAAGGAGTGTGTCTGTGTTTGGCTATACAGCTTTCGTTCAATGGTACCTGGTACGCGTTTAGCAGCGTTTTTTCACTTGGTGTGGTGCAGGAAAACCGCACCAGATCGTCAAGCACGTGACAAGGCACTCAGCCAGGAGGACGCCCTGGCGAAGAAAGTACGAACTCTCGAGAAAAGCCTGGTGAAACAACAGAGGGAAACAATGCGTGTTCGAGCAATAAGAGCTCGGGATGCCGTGGAACGCTCCGAAATGGAAGAATTTTTCATGCAGTGTGTAGAGGTGAGCAAAACTTCGCGCTGCCTCTGGCGTTGGGTGTCGCTGGTACGCCTTGAATGTGGTGCAGCACCAGAACCACTCATCGACCGCCGCCAAATCGAAAGTATGGTGAGGACAGTTAACGATAGAAAACATGACGATAAGCACTGGTCTTCCGGAGGAAGGGAAGTACTGCCACTTTCAAGCTTACGCGAGTTCAACCCCTACCACAGGATGTGAGGCGAAAAATCGAGCAGAGGAAGCTGCAGGCTCGTATGCTGCACGCTCGGTCCGCTGGGCCATCTCAGCGACCGCATGGATCTACGGCATTGCCAAGAAAACCATCTGCAGCAGCGGGGGTTGCTCCCTTGTCGCCCCCAGGGGCCGCACCACCCACGACCACACTCCAAGTGAGGTTTGCGAACAAAACAGACAGGTTCTCGGTACACACGACTAACTCCGATTAACAACGTTGCGCGCTTGTCGTCAAGCCAAATGTTTCGAGGACGCGTGATCACCAGTCACGCAGCGGCAGGCACTACAATCAGAACTCTGACTAATCGTGTACCCTGTTCCTAACAAGAAGCTTGCCCGACGCTCTTCTCTGTTTGAACCGGCAGCAATTCACCGCAAGTGATCGGAGAGCTGTAATCGAATCTCTCCTGCAGCGAGAGGATGTCATATCGCACCTTTTCGACATGTTTTTTCCGGTGGCACCATCGGCGAAAGGCATTCACTCACCAAAGGGCCAGGACCAAGCATAGTGATTATCGTAATGTGCAGATTAATTAATCCCCAATCTACGATCAGGTGTCTGGATACCACACGCTGAGGCCGTCTCGGCTGATCGCCCTGTGAGAGTAGCCGTAACCGTAGCTCTCGATTTCGATAGATTTCGATAGAGCCGTCGGTTTAGATTTACCTCGGAGTGTTCTCGTCCGTACCGAGTGATCCATACATGTGACCCATAACCGGATCATTCCAGTCATGTCTTACACTACGCGGAAAAGAATCAACACGTCAACGATCGCGCCCCCTATATACCTAGTAAGAAACTCCTTCGCACACGCCCTCCCGAGCAACCTCAAGAACAAAATTCTCCCCGCTAAAATGGCCACGGGTCCGTGTTTCATCAAACCGTCGTAGCTAGGTCTCGGGCGATGGACGATACGCGCCGACCGACGGACAACTCCACAAGAACCAAATTAAAGAACATAGAATTACATGGATATAATGCTTCTCGAAACCACATACAACCAAAAACGGCGGAAAGCAGTCCGGGGATCTGCTGCACCTTGTTCATTTTGACACTAGTATGCAAGATGGCTAAATGTACCCGCGCAGTGTATGATCGACAAGTCACAAATCAACGTCTTCTAGGGCGCCGGTACAACTGTAGTGTCACGGGCTGGGACTCATGGAGCCACGGGAGTTGGGCGGTGTCGGAGAATTCGGTCCACAATCACTTGCAGCTGCTTGCTCTCGTGCGCCTGATTCGCTTGCTTCAACAGCTGTCACCTGACGCTAGAATGGAGCAGGCAGACGCAGAGCGATGTGTCCTTAGAGTGATATATGTAGTCCCCATACAAGGCGGGTGGTCTGAACTCTGAAGGACTTTGGTTTTAAGCTTGTTCGGTATTTGTAGGTTCAGTTAAAAACGAAGAATCGTTATTGCTTACCGCTTTCTTCTTGACAAAACCGTCGTCGTAAGGATGCAACAAGAATCAGTGCACGCATACTTGCATGCACACAGGTATGCATGGTTGTGTGCAAATCTTCATCTCGTCTGTGCTCTACACCACCTTCAAAAAGATACCGAGGACATCTTAGAGGACCAGCACGGTAGTCTGAGGCAAGCTGCGTTGCCCCTTCGGTATTTCTTGGTCCAGCAAATACTCAGAACAAGTCCATGGTTCGCGAGAACGGTTGCAAAGAAAATCCTCTGTCAAAACAGCGCGTGTTCATTCTTCACTTGGAGGGAGCTGTATGTCTCATCCTTCGCACGAAAATTAAGAGATGTACATTTGACGATACGACCCTTGATGCACGAAACAAAACGGCATACGTATATACGAGCGGGCTTCATGACAAGAACCACGCCCGGGTGTACGTTTCGGCATCCACAACAAGGCATTTTTGGGGACGATGAAAGCGAAGCCCCACGCTAAATAGACACCACTCAGCCAACTTTTCCGAAGACGTTAGTGGAACAGTAGTGCGCTAGACATCGAATCTAGGCAATGGAAAGAGACCCTTTCGAGTGAGGGTTTCTTGCAACGACACCACCTGGTGTCAACATTTACCCACCGTCCACACGAGTGAGTAGACCTGAACCCAGCAAGCGCGCAACTAGCGGCAAAACATCGGTGAAGGGAAAGCCATCCCCAATCTTGAACAGCAAATCAGTCAGCAACACACACACCGCATTGACGCACCTCAGGTAGTGATTGTTCGTTTCCTTCTTGCACACTGACGGGTGCCGTCCTCGGGTCTACCTCCACCTCTGGTTCTGGCTCAGAAGACTCGTCCAACGCATCTCCCTCCTCAGGTTCCGAGACGTTGCTCTTGCTCTCGCCAGGACACACTTCATCGCCCGATTTTTCGTCATCGCCATCATTCTGGTCCTCACTCGTATCCCCAACCACACAGGCGCCCTCGTCCTCCTCCTCCTCCTCCTCCTCCTCACTTTTCTCCGCAACCATACCGATCGCCTCTCCTGCCCCCTGTTGGCCACGCTGTCCCCTTTCCTCTTGCTCCGCCCCGTCGCTCTCTCTCTCTTCGTCGTCTGGCTGGCCCACTTCCTTCTCGAGCACCTCGTTCTCGACTATCATGGGGGTGTCTTCCGTTACATCCGGAACTGAGGCTTCAGGTGCGTCACGCGACTGGTCATCCGCGGATGGTGACGGCGTGTTGGCCTGGGCTGCTCCACGGCCACCTTGGACATCACGCCGAGTGTAGGACAGCACATGCTCGTCCTGCAACATAACGCGCGGGTTTTGGTAGGAGGGGGGGCAGATTAACACCATGAGGATCGCTGCGGAATAACTTTCCCGAAGGGTTATTCGTCGTTGTGAGAGTTGCCCGCACGCAACAGTAATTTATCGCCGCCTCTCCACGCGCCTCGATGTCCGACCAACAAAACCATGAAAGCGCCCAACGTTAGGCTAAGCCCGGAAAACTGGCGGTTCGATCAAGTGCGAGCTCTTCCAGTTTTAAATAGGCGCTGTTGTGGTCCGTCCTTGTTAGGTTCTTGACGGAATTAATCGGGGCCTTCGATGCCTTCGTTCTTCCTCCAAACTTCACCTCGGCGGGCGTTCCCAGCCCTTGGAGCCAGGGGTGATCCAGCATCTGCTGTGCTGAGGCCCGCTTGTCAGGGTCCATCTCCAGCATGGGACGAATAAACGCCGCCGCCTCTCGAGCGTCCTGCCCCACGCCAAGTTGGGGTGAATCAAGTCATCAGGAAGTGCAGTTCGACGGCCGGCGTAAGAACGCAAGAATCAGTTATATGCGCCACCGCAAGGCTCCGCTGCATTGCATGCAGTACCATTACCATTGCGATATGCCGTGAGTCTACACAGCAGCACGATTGCAGTGATGAAAACACAATAAAAAACATCATTGTTGTGCGAGATTTGCTCCTGTCGGTGTGGGCATCAACGACTACACACTAGTATATGCCACACACCTGATGCCCCGGACCCATGTGCATTTATGGAAAGATGTGGACCCGAAAGGTCTGAACAAGAATAAAAGGAGAGCGATGAGGGCACACGGGGACGTACATATGGAACACCACATCTGGCGAACACGACGTAGCCACAAATTAGGCCAATCGCCCCCCAACATCTCCTGTGGGCGCCAGTAGGGCTGTGTGGCGAGCGACAGGGATTTGTGTTGTGTATCAAACCCGCCGCAAAGAAAAGGCGAAGCATTCAGTCTTCATCTCCTTAACATACCTTGCGAGAGAAGTGATACTTGTCGACAAGGACGTCTTCCAGACCCCACATCTTGAGGCTGTGGATGTGGCGCAGGTCGCCCTTTCTGTTGAAGTACTGGCGGCTGTACTTTCCCTCGTGAATGAGCTTGTCAGGAAGCCTGCCTAGCAGCTCCATACACTGCGCCAGATGGTCCTCATCCCTGTCGTAGTCCTCTCCGGACCTGTGGCCAATGGAAAACACAGCAATGTACCAAAAAAAAAACGGCCGTGTCTCAACCCGCACCACAAGTGACCTTTGTCAACAAAGGGTTCACCTCCCACCATTATCACGGGTCTTTATAAACAGACAATTAATTGGAAAGAGGAGCAGTCTTGGCAGTCGATCTCGAACAGAAGGGACACACCCGCATCCATCGTGCATCACCTGGGGTCGAACAGAAGATCCCCCGTCAGTAACTCGAACAGGATACACGCCAAGCTCCACATGTCAGCACTTGTGTCGTACCACACACCAGTGATGACCTGCCAAACCAAGACATCATCACTCGATTAGTATACTGCATCAGAACGTACCCATCCACTCACTCTCCGACGCCTCAAGATGCAACTCTGATACACGATTGCGTAGGAAAACCAACATGGGATAAACGCATGTGGGCATGCCAGGGGCGACCAACCAACCACTAAAAAGCCTTCTTGGCAGTCCTAAACGACACGAAGAGGTTAAGCCGTATCAATCGTTTTTACACGCCCAACATCGGTTTTTCGATTTGGAAAAAGGACCTGTTGCTCCTATAACAGGTCCTTATGCTGCAGTCCATTTGCAATTTTTTGGGTGCCGACCAGACACAGAAAAAGACTCCTAAAACGGCATTCGATTTTTCCTCACTTGCTATTAAAACTCATCAACGGTTTGTCGGACATCCCTCCCCACTGGTTGAAGCAACAAAAATGACAAAGCTAGTTCCTCACCTCGGGCGAGCGGTACTGTCGCGTTTGGATGTCCTCGCTGAAGTGCTTGTGCGTCCAGCAGGCGTTTCCCAGGTCAACGATAAGCACCCGTACTGAGGCCAGCTCGTCCATCAAGCTGCCCAACTTCCTGTCACCCGTTCGCTGTTAAGACGGGGCATTGAGAACGTAACAAAAAAGACCTTCTATCGAAATGGCGACATGGAGCGACAGCGGTAGTTCAACACGCACTTTCGCGACGTTATCCTGCACTCACGTCTGATGGCTGGGGAGACGACGCCTTCGTGCGCTTTGGAGTCTTAGGAGGTCCTCGCATAGGGCTGATGTTGTCCTCCCCAGGGCCCTTGGGAGTGTCTTCCGGCTCGTTCAGCCGCAAGTCACTCGCCCTAGCCTCACCCTCCTGCTTCTTGTCGCCACTATCTGCTGGGGATGGTTTATCTGTGGACAGTTTGCCCACATCCTCTAAAGCCTCGCTGCCCTCTGAAGTGCCTGGTCTTAAGCCTGACAGCCGTTGAGAAAGAGGCTGAGGGTTGGGCCCAGACTCGCCTCCTCCCTCACGAGCACCATCCCTCACCACTTTTCGCCACACCTCCCCATCCGCCTGTGCAAGTGGTCAGCAAACAAACGCGGCCAGAAGCGCGCACCAACAGTTTTAATCAACAGTTATCCCGAATACCGGGCATCACATTGCTTCTAATCAACAACGGCACGGAACGCAAGCACCTTTTTTCCCCAATTAGAGAAGCAATGCCAATCTCCGACGGGTTAATACCTTGGCATTGGCACGGATCGTGGTTGAAAGGGCCACCACGTCCACCCCCATCACTACCCATTCGTCCTGCGCGGCAGGCAGCCGGCAGCCGGCCGACGCGATGTCCCTGGCGTAGAAAAGGGATTGCGGCGAAACATTAAGAGAGCTTCCATGTTAACAGTCACAGCAGGAACGCACATGTTTATTTAGAAACTTGGAGGCAGAAACGCGCAAACTGGAATGTTGTTGCCCAACAACCAGGTGGGGGCACGGGAATGATTGACTAGACTGCCTCATGCAGGACGGGGAAAACGAAGCTTCCACAGAAACGCAGACGCAACGCACAAAATCATAATCATCCCAGGCAGACAACGACAAATACCGCTCTTTCCCTGGATGGCAGCTCAAAACAAGGCGCTAACAAAGCAACCCACCACAGAGCAGACGCCTCGGGTCGAGCTCCACTCTTTGCAACCTCGCCCACGACAAAGATAAGCCCGGAAACAGCAGTCTCCAGCGCCTCCAGTACCCGCTCGAGCTCTGAGTACGCAAACTCAAGACTCCACAGAGCAGGGGGAGACGACGACGCGTCCGTCGATGCTGCCTCATCTACAGCATTCTCGCCTCCTGTCTGCGGTCCCGACCGGTCTACGTCTCGCCGAGCATCACCCGGAGCGGCCGCCGGCGATGTCCCCGTGCCGTCGCCCTCGGCAGTCTCGTCTCCTGCCTCCACGGGTCCGTCCGGCAGCACCACCGCTCCTGACGGTTCGTTGGAACTTACCCCTCCATCCCCAGTTTTTGTATCAGAGCCTTCGCTTTGCGCCGCCCCTCCCGCGCACCCGCTTGCGGCGCACAGGACGTTACTAAGCGCAGCAAGGGTACCCGAGGTATCTACACCAAGACCGCGGATTTTCAAGCAGGTCTCGAAGGCAGCGGAGGTCTTGGATTTACCAGCCGGGGACCCGGCCTGAGGCGTCTCTCCCTCCTCGCTCTGCGCAGAATCGTGCAATCGCCAACACAGCAGGGGGGTTGTGATCCTTCAGCCACACGACACTCAAGAACGTTGTTGAGGTAGGGACATAGCCAGTGTAAGCTTGTACTGTAGAGGGTTCCAAAATACCTCCTTGGGTATGTACAAATCACCTTCAGGATACTCACCAGCAGCAGCACAAGCTCTTTCCCATCCACTAAGCTTTGCGGCAATTGTCCCGGTGCCAGCCCCAAGCCCTCCTCCAGTCGCTTCGCCGACATCACCACCTGGAGCACGCACTCCTGACCCTCTGACAAGGGTACCCACAGGGATTCCTCGGCCACGCACAGCTCCACTTGTCGCCCACTTCGCCCCCTACCTGGTGCGCTTGCTTCCGAGCTCTGCGTGCAAGGGCAAAGTGAAATGAGCCGCAACTGGTGTGTGTGAGCAGCGGCAATGATGGCAAGAAATTCAAATAAAGTCTCCAGCGGGTTGAATAATAGAGTCTAGAAACACCCCACCCACCCAAGTCAACCTCTCACCTGCTCTGAAACGCTGCCTAAGCTGAAGTTCCTCCGTAAGAACGCCTCGTTTGCACCTGCTGCAGCATCGCCTTGGCCTACGCCCCCACTGCGTACAGTGTTGGGGGTAGAAGGTGGCAGTGGAGGAAGTGTCTTGGTCCTTGCGCCACCGTCACTTTCGGCCACACTACCACTACCAAGATCCTCCACTTCCGCCTCCGTCATGACAAAGCTCACGTTCTTATGATGGGAGCGCACAACAGAGCTGAGGTTGCCGTTTGTGGGCGCTGCGGGCGGCACTGGGAGGCCATCCCCCGCCTTTTCGATGATGCTTGCTACAGGGTCCACCACCATGTCAGCATCGCCAACAGCCACCTCCACCTGAACCACATCAGATGCATCAGGCATCTCCACATCCACGGGTGGGACGCGAGGGACATCCTCCGCACGGTCCTGGCCCCCTTCTTCCCCCTTTGCCTCCACCTTCTCCGTATCGCCTCCTGTCGAGCCGATGGCTGTGCCGTTTGCCGGTTCAGGTAATGGCTGAGAGAGCGCCGGTCGGGCGGCTGGATCTGCACCAACGGCTCCTTCCTCCGTCGCGATGCCCTTCCGCTTCGCCGCCTGCTTCTTCTTCTTGAGCTGTTGTTTCGAACAGCACGGCAAAAACATGGCGAGAGATGCAATGCACCGCCATCGTCACAAGCAGTAGTACTCGCTGCTGTTGTATGCATAGGTGGCATTTGGCTTTTGGGCTATTGCTGTTCTGGGACGCAAAGAGGCCAGCACTTTCAAAGACCACGACACAACATACACAAGGAAGAGGTAGACGAGGTATTGTGAACTCCTCTCCGTGCTTTCAACCGCGCATACCTTCTTCTTGAGTTTGCGCTTCTCTTCCGCACTCAAGCCGTTCTGATCTGCCATCGACAGCGCCATGTTGAGATCCTCGATGGTAGTCGCCACGCCTTTCATTGCCATGCCAGCCCTAGATTCCCTTCCCTGCAAGGGGGGTGGCTGCTCCGACTCGGGCGGTGGTCGAGGAGGAAGGTCCAGGAGCACGTTCTCTGGCTTCAAGTCCGTGTGGATGATGCTGTGGGAGAAAGGCCAAGCGTGAACAAACGTTTACATGACATCGGAAGAAGGTTATAGCATAGGGGGATGGTTCTCACATCTTCGGTGCAGGGAGCCGCACCTTGGTGGAGAAACAATCTCGCGTGTGCGAAGGAGGATGAAGACATTTTATACACACGCCACGTGCTTCACCATGTAGAACGAGTAGGGTTGAGGATTGGGTCCGCAATAAAAACATTGGACACGAATACGCATACTGCCGTAATTCCAAGTATGATTCTGACGTCCGAAAACACAAACACTAAACAAAACGACAACAATCGCAGTTAATGACAGAATGAGGTCTGCCCAACTGTACTCAATGATTACTGTTTGCTACCTACCACAGGTGAAAAAAGTATCATGGGGCACCAAGATGACATTAATTCTAGTGATCTATCTCACTTGCAGACACGGTGCAAGAAGTCCAGCCCCTGGCACATCTGGCGCGCCATGCTCTTGACAATGCGGATCGGGATACCGTGGTAGTTGTAACGCTTGATAACGGACAGTAGATTGCAGCCCAGCATCTCGAAGACCATGCACACGTGGCGGCCGTGCGGGCCCACATGGTCGAAACAGTCCATAAGCTGCACCGTACGACAGTCAGGATCCAGCTCACCCCTGCCCGGATACGGTTATGGAAATTGAGGATAACACAGGGGCGGTGAGCAAAACACCACTTGCCTAAAAGCGCTACCACCACTTCATGTTTATGTTAATGTTGCTGTGCCGGTCGATGCTCGACGGGTTCTAAATGCCGCCTTGTCCCGATAAGCAATAAAACTGTGGAAAAGACCCAAACATGTCCAACAAACGAAAAGATGCGAGCCGTCTAGCGTACGATACTTGAAAAACTTACGTTGGGTCGTTGCTGGCTAGTTCCGTGAGGGTCTGAGCGTTGGCGCGCACTGTCTGGAGCAGATCGATCTCGTCTCTTGCCGCCTCCGTGTAGTGGTCTGCAGACTTCTGCACCTTCAGCGCCACATACTGCCGCCGGTGGAACACGACATGCCAGAGCCCAAAAGGGTGAGAACTTAATGCCGAGTCACTCGTCAGGGAAGCGACCGGCTTGAGTGGCGTTTGAAACATACAACTGTGACAGGACACGTGCAATATTCATCCACGAGGACAGATTTAAGGTCCAAGGTCCATTGTATCGTTCGAGAATCCGATCACTGCCAGAAGTTGGCGGAGGTCTTGTACCACACAGTTCTCCTGTCCAAAAAGTGCTCGTGTCAATACTTGCACGGGTGCTCGCGTTCATTCCAACAGTGTGTGGCGAGATACCTTCGGTGCAGAGGGAGAAGCACGGCGGTCATCCCGTGCCATCCACACGGTACTGAAGTGACCCCAGCCGAGCTTCTTGACCACGATGTAGCGGTCTGCGAAGACGTCCCCCAGCTGCAAACAACGCACGATTGAGAGGTATATTAACAGGACCATCAAAGAGAGGAAGGCCAGTGAGGTGAAACGGACATTGGTATGTTGTAAATAGCGCCCATACAGATGTAAGCATCTGCAAAAGTAACCACAAGCCTGCACAGACTCTGCAGCAATCTTTCCCACCTTAACAGCGTGGTAGCCTCCGACCTTGTAGCCCTCTTTTCCCTCGTCTTCGTCATCTGAATACTGCATCGAGTCTTTGCCACGAAAGCTGCTTTCGCTGCCCCCCGGGCTTTCGGTCACACTGGAATCAAAGCTCGACCGACTGCTCCCTCGCCCTCCACCCCCCCCCCCCAACTCCGACGAAAGAGAGCTATCGGTGTTACAGTACGACGGCTCCCGTTTGCTCCCGCTCTTGCTGTAGATACCTCCTGAAGCTGGGGGAGATCCTGGAGTCGACACGCAAAAGGGGTGGGCGATCAACAATGGTGTCCTGCAGCTGAAATAAGTAACGGACGAATGTCACATATCCGTGGGCATAAGGCAAGAGTAACATGCAGTCCAACCATATCCCTGTACTTAAGATTCATCACATGCAGAACTAAATGATGCCCACGCTGTTAGATCATCACTGTGATCATACTCCGATAACCAGCGCCACCAGAAACACGTCCAAAATACTGAGTAGCACCTTTCGTGGCGTTCCCCTGGCCGTTGCCACCCTTCTTCTTGCCGCGCTTTTTCTGCTTCTTCCGGGCCCCAGGGGGAAGCTTGGACACTGCTTGAAACGCGGCATGGCAAAAAAGGGGGTGATCGAGGTATCCGACTCAAAACATATTGAACTTCTCGCATGTACTCGATGTAGTCTTCGCGGCACGTCCCATCAATTCACTCTTTGCCGCAGGGTTATTTTCTTGAGCATGGCTTTATCCGTCATATCGATCACAACTCTTGGCAGCCAGCTGCAGATACTTGAATACGTGTGTGTAGATACGTGCGTGTAGTCAACGACTTGAGCTATTTTTGGCTTGAGGTACATATATTTAGGCGCCGAAGTACAGCTACTGGTACCGATTAAACTATGCATGCTTCTACAAACGCAGTCGTGGGGCACAACTTGGGATGAACATTCAAAGCGCGCTAGCTATGCATATGTAACTTTTTTCGAACTTGGAAATAGCCAAGAAGAAATAAACGCCTGAGAATAAGTTCTGAGAGCATTTCGGACTGTGAAGGGGTTGAAGCCAGCCGCCGGCATGCCCGCAGAATAGCGGTCCCAAGCGCACAAGCTAGTGTATGACCGACCTCGCATCCACGACGTGGTTTTAGGTAGAAATAATTAGGTGTACGATTTAGTCCAACTTCTCAAAAACAGATAGTGTAGTACTAGAATACACGACTCGGTTTGCCCAAGATTCAAGAAGCGCAGAAAGCTTAGGTTTGTGCATCAATTTGCCATTTTCTCGGGAGAGTTACAACGCAACGACTTCCCAGTTTAATACATCACTGCTGAGGACATCATGAGTACCGAATCGAATGCCACAAAAAGGAGCAAGATAACGGCGGGGTGAACTCTTCCCCACGTATGCAACGTTCGGGAAGAATTTCAGTTCGGGACGAACAAGTCGTCGCCCGCACCTTGCTCTGGACGGCCAGCGGGTGCGTGAACCGCCTTCGGATCTAATGCACTTCGGCTGTCATGACGCTATCTATGCATATTCTTCCACGCGTTTTTTTGAAACGGCCCTATTGTAGTAAGTTTCGAGTTCTTACAAGTAGCGCCCCAAAGTCCGGGTTCCGCGTCTTGTGGGCTGCTGATCAACAAAACCAGATCCACGAAGATTTGGATTTTCACATCTGCTGTAGTACTGCTGTACAAGTACTGTATCAAGCAGGCAACAAACCGGGATTGGGTCGGTTACTAACGGCTGCCGGTCACAGCTCTCGCTGTACACATCGTCAACGTGGTCTTGGTCACTTTCTGTAGGTAATGTGTTTTATTATTGCTGTGCTTTCCTTTCATTATATTTGGTCCCCGAGAAACAGAAAAAAAAAAATCAAGCGCTGACTATCACGCTCCTTGATATCAAGAGAGGAAGAGAGAGAGAGAGAGACAGGAGAGAAACAGGAGAGAGGGAGAGAGGGAGGGAAGGACGGAGGGACGGAGGCAGAAAGCGAGAGATATGGAGCGGGTGGGAGGGAGGAGCGAGAGGAAAGAGACAGAGATCCGCCCTCTTGACCGTTCGTATCCAGAAACTTCGTGGGTATGCATACATGTGATGAATAATCAACGGATTTTGATGTCAATCGGCCTATCGCGTTACGGCAGCACTCAACAATAGCAGTATTCCATCCATGGGGATCATCAACACGATCTGGAACCACACAAGATCCATAAGGGGCCTACCATCCATGGCGACGGCCGAGCAGCTGTAGGTGAACCGCCACGCCAATACCAAAAAAACTGGTAGCTCGTATCAGTTGAAAATCAGCTTCTCTCCTGTCTCCGACCCTGATGTAAACACCGACAGTCAGAGGGTGGGGTGGCCTTGGATGAAAACAAGCAGGGGTGTGATCACACGGATGGGCATACTCGTAGCCGGATCCTTTCACTACCACGACGTACGTATTGCCACGACCGTCGATCCAACGAGTACAAACGCGGCAGATCTATCTCTTCACAACCTGCTTGCAAGTTTAATACCGGGGTGTTTCAGGCGTTCGAGTGTGTTCCTCTCTCACATCCAAAATACATTCAAGACGGAAACGGGAGGATCTACACGAAGAAAAGGAGCCCCCCTCCACCAATTTCCACGACCAGGCCGTACCCATCCCTTCTCACAATCGTACGCCAATGATGACCAACGGTGAACACAGAGCGGTGACGAGGAAGGAGAGGGGAGACAAAATGAAACTCATGGCGCTCAGAGACATTCGGATCCTGACGAGAATACCTTGTAAGCCTTCCAATAAACAATTCCAAGGAAGATGTCACACAAACGCGCGATCTTACCCTTGGAAGTGAGCCCACGCCGGACACGGTGGCTGCACACACACCAGTGTGTGTGGCGATAGAGAGAGTTGAGCAGAGGTGAATTACTACGATAGAGACAGGGGCACACACAGATGGTAAACGGAGGATACGCGGGTAGGTTACATGTCCGGGCCCCTCATGTCTCTTCGCACGCAACTCTTCGTCCCGTCGATTGGTGTGGTCTGTGCGTTCCAGTTCCCGCTTTTTTTTGGCACTGCTCCCCAGCTTGTTGGCACTGCTGTCCAGTGTCCCTTCTTCCACACAGAGAAGATATGGCAGCAGCAGCGGCATCAGTTATTTGGTCTGTCTCCTCTGTGATCAAATACTGTTTTTTTTACGAAAAAGCGAGTTGTTAAAGGAAGAGAGAGTGTCGAATGGGATATGTAACGGAACATACCCCCACATCGTATCTCCTCACAGCAGAACGAATCTATCCCTCCCTACATACATACAGATATACTCTTCTCGCTCAAGGTAGTCTATACAGACTGCTGTGCAGTGGTGAGCCACAGAGCGACGTGAGAAGGTGTATCAACTACTGGTAGATCTTACCAATCAATGCCGGATACACGGTTGGCACCAACCACGTCATAGTATCATGTGATCCCGCACTTTCCGTCGAACAACATACAAGAAAAACTCGAATGGGTAGTCTTTCTGTGCGTGTATTTATTTTTCCTTGATTATTGTAAAACAGGAATTGCAGGAATTTTGATGGTTTCGTTGTGTCATATTAAGAAAAAAAAAAAAAAAAACGGGAATTGCAGGAATTTTTTGAATCTTCCGCGAACCTCCCCTGAACCCTGAACCATCATACTTTAAAAATCCCGGAAGCATGGGCCCGCGCGTTTGATGACAGGTGGTTATTGAGAATACGTGGCGAAGCAGTGCAGGGGGTATCATGTGTATGCTTGTTTTGTTGTCTTCCAATCTAATCTGGCACCAGTCAGTCTACCTATTTACTACCCCTATGGTAAACGCATTCAGCCGGGGTCAAAAAATAAGTCAACTCTCTCGCCCTGTGTTAGTTCGTTCAATATGGGAAACAGAACTGGAGGTCGGCCTTTTTCTATCGAGGCAGTCACGGTTCCCGCCGAGGAATACACTTTGGGCGATATGCACGCAGTACGAAGTACTTGTGCAATGCAACATTTTCTTGCAGACGAAAAGGAGTCCTGCGGGCAATTCCAAAATTGTCCGAACCCGTTAGTTCGTAGACATGCATCGCCTCCAACATCTCCACAAAACCGAAACTCTGGGCGTGATACTCCGGAGGATATAGCAGCTTCGTTGCATTCCCGTTCTTTCAGAAAGCAGCAACAGGTTGGGGTTTGTCATGCGCTATCCCACGGGACCTGTCACAGACCGGTGCAAAAACCGTGAAACCCACACTCCACGTTTGACACTTTCTGAAAATGATGTTTGACTGACAGCGATTTTCTGCCCGAAGAAAAATGCCGGACCAAACATCCGCCCCAGACGTGCGTAGCTTCTGACCGCTCACTGTGGGCATCAGGGAGGATGGTCGTACATAACTCGATAGAAATCTCAAGTGATTCTGGCGGAGCGTGGGAAATTTACGATAGTGTACATACATTGCAGTAGGCGCTACAGGCCAGCCTTCACAACCTGCCACGAAAGACACCTGCTACGTACGACAATGATTACGCTGGGAGCCTTATATTACAACACACGTATCTGCGAATTAAACACAGCAGAAACACCAGTAGACTCCAACGAGAAGAATAAGGTGCATCTCGCTGCGTATGCATACATCAGGCAAAACCATGCTAACTGACAACTGACCTGGGCACCAGGCATGGTGTATACTAGATAGCAACCTGGACCACATGGAACAGATCCACAGGGAACGTCTAGCTGGAAAGTTCGTATCGAAGACACCACCACGTTAACAACGTCGCAACGTTTTCACGTGTTCGAAATTTCGAGCCCACGATTGCCGAGAAAGGCAGGTGAAGTCCAGGGGCCGAGTCAACGTACAACATCCACCAGACGAATCATGCTACCGTCCACCTCTGGTTTGTTTCAAGATGTACCATATGGCCATGAACGTAAACACAATAAAGGCCACAAGATAGCACATGTGTCGACTACCGCCCTGGGCCATCATGGTGTTGATCCGACGAAGAGTGCCTCCGAGCAGACCTCGAGCATCGAACATTTGTCCTTCCATTCCGCTAATTAAGTCGTTTTGACTGCGCACCTGTCACGTGATACATAGGAACCGGCAAACAAGTGGCGCATATCACTGTGGGACGGGCATAGGCAACTGCTTCCGGCTGTACCCTCAGCAACGGGGCTGAGGATGGCATCTCCTGGTCGAGTTATACTGGTGATGGGCAACGAAAAATCACCGCGCTGGGACTATATATTCAACACGGATAGGACCGAGGGTGATTCAAGAGTAACGCCCTCGAATCGAGAGAAGCCGAACGCCAAAGCTTCCGTTTGACTTCCTCTGCAAGACCACTCACCTCCTGTCCAATATCAATTGTTAGGTGCTTGAGTCGAGACACCTGTGGCCAAACAGGACGCGCGGCAATCAGTAAAAACGTAAAAACAACGGCGCGTAGTTGATGTGCAATCAATGTCATTGACGACGAGTCCGAATCTCAGCCACGGGGGGTACCACATGCGGCACTCATCGGCACTACAGTAGGTCTGTGGGGTAGTATTCTCTGGCGTTCTTGACTACAGTTGAAGTTCACAACGTGTGTGTTGAGTTGAATGTACCGGAGAGGGTTCATCGAGATAAAAAAAAAAAACTCCTATTACCCAGACTGATACGTAAAACATACACACCGAAAGGTGTGTGACTAGAGCCAAAATAGATGGGACGAACACCCAAACACCGGCCTTGGAGGGACAACCGAAAAACCTAAGTCCAAAACCTCAAGAATGTCGACAAGTTGGCAGGTGGGACTGGTATTAACGACCCTACTCGCGGCCGCCATGCTATGAAGAGCAATGGAGCATTGAGCAAGTAACCGGGGACGCCAAATAAGGCGTCTCAAAAGAACCTAATACGGCGAAGGATACGAGTAAAGAGTGCACTGACGGTGAATTATCTCCCACGAGACCCGCCATTGGCATCTCTTTCACGTAGAAGCCGATGATTTGCATTGCGACGTACAAGAACAACGGTCGGCAGGGGTCCTCCCTGGCGACATCGTCGTCGTTTGTCTGCTCTCTGGTAGATTCGAACCAAGGTTTCCAATTGAAGGATTCCTCTTTCACGACAGAAGGCTGTGTGATGCACACCAGCAGGAAGGTCGTTTTCCTTGCAGCGATGCTATCAAATGTCGTGGAGTGCGATCAGATTGTGCTCTTCGTGATCTTTAATGACCACTGCTTGAAAACACTGAAAATACACACTAGTAGCAAAGCAACAACCACAACTGCTAAGCATTCACAGGACAACCGACACGAGTACACCCGCCGAGTGGCGAAGGGGTTTGCGCCGCACGTTTTCTGGCCGGTTGACCATTTGGAATCAAAGAACGCCACGGAAGAACAGCTGCATTCTTTGTTAAGAGACAGCCAGCAGTGTGGCAAACTCCGGGAAAACATCTGTGTACATACTGCTGTAGTTGGGGGCAAACGACAAGGCCAACCTTTAGGGGAGCCAATCAGCGATGAACACCTGCTTGCCAGGGGCTACTACAGAAATTCGGGCGGACGCAGTTGGTCTAGCCTAACGGCACACATACAAGATCCAGTTCTCTACACATTGATCAGGGCCAAGTCGTTCAGCTCAGTTGATATGCATACCATTACAAGTTGCGGGTGACATCTATGAATCCAAACCTTACCTGATCGCTGAGGTCGTCGATGTGTGCGTTATTTTGCATCTCCATGATGTTGTGGTTCGTCTCCTTGATACGATCTGTTGGTGCAGAGTAATAGCCTCCACCAGTACTGCTCCCGCCCCGACCTTGAGATCCGAAGGCATTGTGCATCTCTTCGCCGTTCTCAGGTCTCCTTCTCATCCGCAACCCACGCCCCCCTTCACCCTGCTCGTCCTCAAGAAAGCGAAGCCTTAACTCCTTCACCTCACTTGCGACTTTCAATACCGCCTCCCTGCTGCTGTCACTTTCGACGTTTAAAAGCGCACACAGAGGTTTTTCGTAACAATTTGAATAACAACAATTGACGACTGCGGTGGTAGAGGGAGGGGGCCCTCTTCCAGAAGCTCGTTTGGGGAGACAAGGGCGACAAAGTGGAGAGAAGAGACAGAGTGCAACAGAGCAGTCCAAGCCCAGCAAGCCAGCGTGCGTCGGGGGTCAAGCCATCCGGGACTACGGAGTGACGGGTACGTGTAAACGAAATTCGCAGCTGCGAAGCCCCCGCCCGTAGCGGGAACGCTGGCGGGCCGATGGACGGACCACTGCACCACTGCACCGTTGGGAGGGACAACTGGGACGAGGAGGCTCAAAGCAATCGGGGGAAGAGATACATAGAGGGTATTATGAGCGACGAGTACTCCGCTGTACTCACAGGTGGATTGTCGCTGAAGGGAGGGCTCTTCAAAAGCAAGAAAAAGTGAGTCGCTCAATCAAGCTGCAACCTCTTGTGGACTGTGCAGCACACACGACCTTCACGTGCAATGAAGGTCCACATTTCATATGCATATCTCTGTCTGTTCTCCCCGTTCTTCCTGTGTACAGGTATCTGGATAAATTATTATCTCGGAACGGGTAGATGTTATGTAGAGTATAGTGTAAATCTCACGTGTAACACCGCCCGATAACACCGCCCGATAACACCGCCCGATCGGAGCTCTCTCCGTTCACAGCTGAGAGGCCCGACCGTCAAGTCGATACAAGGGTCCCTCCATGTGGAAACCGTGGAACACCCCACCCACCCCCCCACCCCCCCTGGGCCAAGATTGACACGCAGGAAGCCACCTCGGGCGGCTCACTTTCAGCAGTCTGTTGTAAGGATTTAGTGTGTCTATAGTAAAACCAATATACTCTTCGTTGAATACTGTAGACTTTCGTACCACATTTTCTAAAATCCATAATATCCTCTAATTTGTAGGCTTTCCTGTCGTCATACTTCCTACACCATACCCTCGCGACCAAGATTGACGCGTATTCTTGGGGTGTTTCCATAATTTCCACTACTGCTGTAGCTCTGTGTGGGATCCCGCGCGCGCTGAAAAAAGCACCCGAAAAATGTCGAAACCTCGAGGATTTTGTCAAAATGTCCCCCGGGGACATATAAGGCCTATATCCCAAACCCCGCGACCAAGATTGACACGTAACCTAGGTGTTCCAATGTTTCCACATGGAGGGACCCTTGCTTGTGCGTAAAGATAGATAGATGCCGGGGCGAGCACCGGAGCGCCGCATGAGGAAGATAATTATGGGAGAACTCTTTACTCTGTACTAAATGCTCGGAATTAAGCTGTCGTTGGACTGACTGCTGCGCACCCAGTACGCTGCTACCGGCGGTGGGACTTTGTGATTTTTTGTTCGAGCGAAGCGAGATTTCTAATCTCGCCTGAAATATACCGCTCCAGTGAAGAGAAAAAAGGTTGCACGTGTGTCTGTTCGCTTTAACCTGGTTCTAGACTACATGACTTGATTTTAGACTACAGGGGTCAGCAGATGCACTTTTTTTTTTGGGAGCACACGGATTGCAGCAGAGAACACACGCACTGCGGGACTGCGGGCGACACCACAGAGCAGACAACACACGCACAGCAGACAGCGTACGCGTAACGGGCGACACACACGCACAGTGGGCGACAGCATCTGGGCTCGATGCCGCTAGACTGTCTGTGGTGTGATGAGGCTATGTATTGCTCTGTCGCGCATGTTTTTTTTTATCGCCGCGTGCAACTGCCAGCAATGTGAGCACAGCACCACATTAGTTCTCGAAACCTTGGACGCCGATCGCCATCGCACCACTTTGAGCGTGTGCTCCATTGTGGTGTCTCTGGGCGTGATAGTTGTGTTGGACATGGGTGCTTTGTGTGGCGAGAGCATCGTGGCGATGTGAAATCCGGTTTGGCTTTTTCGCCTGGCGATGCGGCCCGATTGCCCGGGCCAAAAAAACGATTTGGATTCCACGCCACCACGAACATCTTCCCACACACAGCACCCATGCCTAACACAACTGTCACGCCCCGATATATCGCAATGGAGCACACGCTCGAAGTGGTGCCATGACGATTGGTGCGCTAGGTGACGAGAACTGACTTGTGTCCTGCTGCTGTTTCGCTGGCAGTTGAAAAAACACCGAACGAAATAAGAGGGAACAGGGGGTTCAGCACTAGTATGCGCGGGGTATGTATGACCACGAAATCGGGATGTGGACGGGGGGGGGGTAACCGGTAGGTGAGAGTTAACCACAGATCTCACACCAGCACAGCAGGTAGGTGTAGTATCAAGTGTGTGGTGTTTGCACTCTGTTTCCGCCCGTGGACGCACGTCTGACGACAGTGTTACCTATCAGCTGTCGCTCGTTGTAGCGACAGCTAGTATATCTTTACGTACTCTAGCATCGACGCTAACCGGCTTGACCAATGAAAGGACGCGTGCGGTTCTAAACACAAAATGTTAAATGTTTCTAAAGGCCATGATCTGGGACCCCGTGAGAGGGCATCATGGGGGAGGCTACACTACTGCTGTCCGGATTTAAAAAGACAGATACGGTAGCAACTGAAGAACACGTGTTTACTACGGCTGCTACTTTGAACGCACGTTAATTCCGGAGTGCTTTCGTCACCCTCCCTGCATTCACCACCACCACTCTCGTCGCCAATATCCCCACTACTTTTGGCAGGTCCTCTCCAGTCCTGCGACGTTTGTTGTGAGGAAGGTCATGTGGCTCAAAACTCTTGCTCGCTTCCACGCCATATGCTGTCTGCGTGTTCGTCCCTTTATTCCCTTGCGCAAGCCCTGGGTGTATCGTATATGTTTGACTTACATTTCAGCCGGGGCAATAACTTTACTTTCTTTCTTACTGCCCCACCGCCCGACCTACGCTCCTGCGGTACTCGCCCTGTACTAGCTTATATCGCTCGTTCCAGAGAGATTCGAACCCACAATTTTGTGTCGGGGGGTTACGAGTTGGCTGAATCACCGGGGCCACGAGCTCTTGGCCAATAGTTTTGCAGTACAAGGTGTGGGGAACTCGTTGACCTTGAAGTACTTCTTTTTGGAGATGTTCAGCCCTTGGTTCACTGGGCGTTTGGGGCCCGTGGGACGGTGACTACGAGATTACAGTCGTGACAAGTTCTGGGGGAGGGGGGGGTCATGTGTCCGTGATATCGTGTGTTACGCAGCACGCAGTCAAAAGTGTACCTTGACTCGCTGGCTATTCGACGCTGATCGCAACCATTTTCTGTGAGGACTCCCTGTTGACTGTGAGTTAATGTTTAATCTTTCCCGACCTCCTCTCAACCTGGTTGTGGAATGGGCTTGCCTGTCCCTGCAAGGACCATGGGCGTACCACACCCGCTCTTTCCTCTTCGTGGCACAAATTATGAACAATACAACGTACAAGTAGGTATCCTGATTTATATGGAGCGCTGTCGCCTGTCTATTAACCCCTTTGGGTCTAGGCTGGACTGTCAGATTTTTTCTTTTGCTCAAAAAAAAAAAAATGAGAGCGAGAGCGAGCGGGAGAGAGAGAAGTGCAGAGAAAGACACCAGTGTACTTCTGCACACGCAACAGCTATCTCCGCCTGTAGGCCATGAGAGAAGCCGGCGACAGGGTGGTGGCCACAGACAGGGTCGTAGAAGGGTTGGTGGGTGGTCGCGCTGCGGTCAGTAGGGCAGGTTAGCTGTGTAGCCTTTGAAATGATCAGTCGTCTAGCTGCCTCAACTAGTCTATTTTCGGTATATTGTAAATGATCAGTCCAGAGAGGGCAAAATGATCAGTGAAGACCCATAGCTGGTATTTGTACTTCTGTACTTCTCTGTTCTCTGTCCCCCCCCGAAATGTGCCCTGCCAACTCTCTAGAGCTCCTGTGTTTTTCAAACAACAAGCACATCCACCAGCACACACCTGTACCTCGTGGTTTCCTAGGTTCGGGCGAGGGTGGTATGTGTGGCGCTACGAGTGTGGATGTTTTGCTGATATGTTTTACTCGTCTACAGCAGTAGTAGTAGTGTTGTTGTAGCGTTCGTTGTAGCTGTTGACACAATGACTGCTGGATCTTGGGAACGATTTTCAAATTGTTGGGAACCACGATATCCTCGATATCTGGGCTTCGGCAGGGACTGCAATAACCCTCCCTTTTGCTGTCCTCTGCTCTTCCTACGTTCGGGCGAGTGTGTGTGTGGTGCTGCGAAAGAACACATATGTATGTATGTATGTACTGTATGCACACACGCGTTCATTGACATGTGCATACGTTGAGAGATTCATGATTTGGCATTGATTGGCCCCATTCCCATTCCCGAGACCTTGATTTTACCCGTTGTCACTGAAGTCTCTTCATTGGTCAGCCGGTTAGCGCGGGTGCTAATAATCTAGACACACCTACCTATGGACTTGCCAATACACGGCGCGAAGGGCTGCAGGGCGGCAACTCCACGACTTGCCACTACACCAGCATTTGCAAATGATCAATCAATGATCAGTGAGAACGCCTGAAGACTCAAAAGGGTTAAGGACATCAACTTCACCGGTGACAGCTCAATTTATCATTGAAATAAATATATCCGCGCGCCGGCGTTTGAAGGTCGTCTTCAAGCGGAACAGCTTGTGCGTGCTCTGGCTATGGCGTGATGTTGTTGCACGTGTGGGAGTCGATATTGCAGCTCTCTGCAACATGTAACCTCTTCCGGCCGTTCTTGAGGCGTCTGCTTGACTGCCGAGGGAGGGTGTTGCGCTCATACCATGCTGCATGATACCTAAGTTGGAACGTTGTTTGCGTTTGTGGTTCTCTTCAGGAAGAAGGGGAAGCGTAAGCGGGAGGAGGCTGAAGCAGCCGCCCGGGCGCGGGAGGCTGCTATTGAGGATGAACGCAGCTCTGGATCAGCGGCCGATGGTGCTGATGCTGGAGGGTCTGGGTCAGACGACGGCGCAAAGAAAGAGGGGGCTGGGGAAGGGAATGAGCAAGCGGGGGAGGAGGTAGACGACATGCTGACGCCAGCCCAACGGCGATTCAGGAAGAAGCAGCTGGAACGCGAGGTGAGATACTTCACCTGTCGGATCGCTTCATGTATATATGTTCGTGACGAGCTGTATGCTGATGGCAGGAAGCCTGTATGTCGACTCTTGGAGACCCGCACATGCAAAAGAGACTTTTAGAGTGTTGCTGACTTTGGTGGTGCATTTATTGTCGACGTTATGTAGGGCTTGTGTACCTCGTGTTTGGGCCGGTGCGCTCCCATGTATTGCGCGTTCTCACCTCACGTCGTCCAGACACGGAGTTGTTGGCACCATGATTGGCACCATTCGCCCGTTGACTGAAATGTGGAAAGGACGTCAACTTGTTCTAATTGCTATCTGAATGCTCTTTGCCCCTTGTGATGCAGGGGAAGAAGATTCGAGGCATGGTCGAGCAGACTCATCGCGAACGAATTGAAAACTTCAACGCCCTCCTTGCTTCGATGACCGAGCACAACGACATCCCGAGATGCTCGGCTGCAGGCAACGGATGAAAAACTGCCCCAATCACCGTGATAGTAGGTCTCCTGGCTCTCGAGAGATACGTTTGTTGTGTCACCGGTGCTAGATGCTGAGCAGAAATCGTGCCCTGGCGAAGTCGCGGGCGGGCGTTGCGGACGTAATTAGTTGCTTCAAGCATCTCTCCTTGAGATCCAGTTTAGATCTGATGGACTCTTGTTGCGAACGTGAAGCGAATGTGTCCAAGGTCTTGTACATACCAGCTGGAAAAACCGGATCGTTCTTGTATCAACAAACGGCAGAGACTAATTGTGAGTAGACACCATGCAGGCGACAGGAGAGCACCGCTGTTGTCGGGAAACCGCTTCTTTGTACGCATTTTGGAGTTGGAAGGAAACCGCCAGTGATGAAAAATAATTAGCTGTGTGGTTGATCGACGTACACGCCCAAGTGGCTGATACTGTTTCAGTGTACGCACATGTATTGTGTCCACTCACCATAACACAACAGAGATTGTGAAGGTCGTGCGAGTGACTCGCAGACTTCAAGTGACATACAATAGGACCTGGGATTGCGTAGCGCGTCCACCTAAAACGTGTCTGTACACGAAGGTCATTTTGAGGCTGCCTTTCGAGGCTACCACAGGCGGCACTGACACGATCAAACGAACTGTTCCAACTGTGTGCTGTGACGCAGCCAAACGGTCCAACAAACGCACATTCAAAGGCCTGATCCCCGTATACTGCTGGAGCTCGTGGTCCTCCCATTGCATACTTCATAGCCCACTACACGTTACATATTTTAGAAAAACAAACTCTACTCCAAAATAAGTAACGTTACAGCAGTAGTAGTGTCGGCTCCGACCCTTCGGCCCTATTTCGTCATCGCGTTGTACACGCGGTAGTCTAGAACTTTCCAGCAAGCGCCCTGACAGCCGCCTTGTCTGCCTTCGCCGGGTCCACGCTCTTCAACCACTTGAGCTCCCTGCACGTCAACGAAAGGGTGGGTGGACGAAAATACGTCCGAAGAACATCAACTCCCATGTCAGAGACGGTCGGAGACGTGTGAGGCTACGAAGTGGTTGATACTGTTTCGCAACTGCTTTTTCTTCAGTGAAGAAAAGCATGCCAGACGGCCGTAGAATGCCATCAGGTGTTTTTTATGTCATGCGCTTGTCGACTGCCCTGGCTTCTCTTGCGCGGAAAAAAAGAAAGGTGGCGAGCGTCACGTCAACCTGGGGGCAACCCGGGATCTGATGTTGAGAAGCGCCTTGGTTTCGGTCATATATATCAACGCGCAGAACACATCTACCCCAAGCTTTTGGGATGGAGAGCCAATTGCTTCATTTGTCGGGCTAGCACTACTTGTAATACTGAGGGCTGCATGACGAAGTACCGGTCATGAAAGAGGTTGCAGTGACACAAGGCAAAGATGCCATCTTCAGTACCTGTCGATATTCGCCTCTTCGGCCACGTTTTTCCCCCAGTGAGCAATCAGGGCCTCCTTTTGCGTCGTCAACGCTGTCTCCAAAAGCCCCTTCAGCTCCTCCGAACTCTGGTGTAAGAGCCAAACGGGCACAACAGAGAGCACATCAACATTTCCACCTTCATCGGGCATGCGACGGGTGAGAGCCATGAGCAAGACAACCCGACAACTCGAGGCAACGGCAGCACAACAACCAAGCCTACATCTACACGCATGCAACACCGCCGCAACTCAAGGGGGCTCGAGACTGCACGAGCCCTCGTCCGTATGCTCTTGCGCCACGCCAAGCTTTCTTGACTAAGGAATCTCAAACGGGGCGAGTATTCCACCAACCTTATTTGCGAAATTCGTGAAGCACGGACAGGTCTCCTTGTTGCGCACGTCGAGGAGCTTGCCGATATCATCGCCCTGGCAGACCGACGTCAAACGCAAAGGAGACAGTACGAAACCAACAGCTCGTAACGGGCACAATTGAAAAAGTAAATGCTCCCAAAACGGCATGGGTTATCCCAAAGTAAGGGCAACGGAGGGAAACGAGGTGCAGCATGTACTTGCGGTACTGGCGCATGCCAATCCTCCGACTCTCACCTCGACACAGATGAACACGCCCGGGTACCCTTCCAGCGCCTCGTACGAAGGAGGGGCTGGCCGCAGGTCCTTCTTTGCCGGCCACTCCAATGCATACCACCAACGGCAGAGGAGCTTCTGAATCATCTCACCCTGTGAACGGGGATGAAAAACGCTAGAAGTAGTCACCTAAACACAAACTGATCCATCTGGCGACGGCAGAAGGGGTCATTTGTGGCATACAGTCCTCTCGAACGTCCTCCGTGTTGAAGGTGCATTGTACCCCGCGTACAGGGCGCGGGGTACTGAATCTGAGCCCCGTCGTGTACACGAAAAGCAGTTACACTCGGCTTCAATCACACTTTATGTCAAAAAGCCAACACGCCCACAGCAGTGGAAATAAACGGGCAAGAGTTTGGGTCTACTTCCTTAAAAACACACACCTTCTTCGTGTCGTACAGCACTCCTGATCGAGTGACCAGCTTGTCCCCCGAAGACTCCTGCTCTCGTGGTTTCGTCTTCCGCTTTGTTTTCTTTGGGATACGGGTTGGCGTCGTGTGCGAAACAAATATACAGAGCAGAAACACAGCTCGTCACGGGAGATGCAAGTTGTCGCGGATACTGAAACAAACGGCAGGAGTATAAGAGGGCCGATCTACCCAACCTGGACAAGACTTGAGCAGCTGATGTCGTCTCTCTGTTTGGCGAAGTTTCGACCAAAATCCGTCCATTATGATGTAATTGCGCCTATTCACCCCATCAAGAACCTCAGCTATGACGAGATCAATGCGTCATGCTTGATGACCGGTACTGTACTCAGCCGACCCTTGAGGTATACTTCCCAACACCCAGACACGCGGGGAACAACCATTGGAATCTCTACAAAATACGTCATTCACCTTCGACAACGTTCTGTTCTATGGACGCTATGCAGTCGGACGCACCTTTTTTACCGGAGCTTTCTTCGCTGCCTGGGAGTCACGACAAGGCGCAAGCGGGGGGAATGAGAGTCAGGCGTCGACCTCAAGGGAGTGGTCAGAAGGGGGGTTATTCAAACCAAACAACGGTGCTACGCTCAACACAGACGTGCCTAATTGACACCTCAAAAAAGCCTCGAGCCATGTCGCTCACTCACCGGACCCTTGCCCTTAGCTTTCGGCGTGGGCGATTTCTTGGCGCCCTTCTTCGCGGGGGTGGGCTTCTTCGCCGGCCCCTTCTTGGTCACCAGCTTCTTGGCGGCCGCGCTTTTGATGGGAGCCTTTGCCTTGGCGGTTGGCTTGGCTTTCGTCTTTGCCTTTCCCCAGAAACGAGAAACCACCCGCCGGCACCCACGAGTGTAGAATATTGAAATTGTGTCATACGTCGTGCGAAAAGAGCTTGATGCACACCACCCCGTGATAAAATGCAACGAGACGTCTATCGGGTAGCCCGCAAACCTGAAGTTACTACACTCACATGCCGGCCAACCACGCATTCCCAGCCTCACCTTGTCCGATTCTCCAGCAGCCGCGTTCTTCTTATGCTTCTTCGAAAATTGCGCGAGCGGCATGTCATCATCTGAGTCCGAAACACTTAGGGAACAACGAAGGCGGCGAGGGATATGCGCTTGACAGTGCAGACATTGGAAGCCTCCACTTCGGTAGCAACACGTATGCAGACCCGTCAGCAACATCGGGACAAACGCAATTGATGCCCGTCTTGGAACAGGCACGGGCTCAACGGCAAACGAAGGCAGTAAAGTCGCGTTAACGCTTTTAGGCACAGCGAATACAGGTGTTAAGCCGCATCCCTTTCCCTGGCCGTACACGTGCCCAACACTTCTGCTTGCCCATCGGTTGCTCTTCAACGGAAATTGTTCACAAAATCATCCACGTGAAAGCAGCGTTGTCTTCGCAAGCGGTCACCAGGAACATACCGATTTAACTCCTTGAACGCCCTTACCCCCGAGCCTGGATTACCTGCGACAACAAACTAGACACTCCTGATGCAACGATGATAATTCAGGAGGCGCCTCCCAATAGATCATTAGATCATGGGACAGTTGTGCAAAATACGAACAATGCAGACACATTCTTACCTCGCCTGCAGCCCAGTGTAGGGAGCAGCCATTCCAAGCAGATTTTCACGAATGCGGCGGATGACGGGAAAGGGGCGAAGGTCAAGGATACTTGCAACGAGCGCGACAAGGAAGAGGCATTTGAATACACACACTGTTTTCCCGCTGCTTTCTGCTAATCGTCGGGTTATTTTCCGTTCTTTCCTGTGGGTTCATAAAAAGATACCCACCGCTCATCACACCGCACCAATCAAAAGTGGCAATAATGTGTAAATCATTTGTCAGAAGAAGCCGGTTCGTGGAATCTCAATATCGATTCAGCGGGTCACCCCGGGAAAGTTCTACCATTCTATTAGCTAGATCCTGGGAGAGGTGTGTTTCATCCGCATTTCGTTCCCACTTCCCGGTTAGCTGCACTTTGTAGTGTGAGGACAAAATGCGACCGCTTATTTCGGCACGTCGCCGAACCCACTTAGCCGCTCAACCGGAAGAGTCTCAATAGCGGTTACGAACCGCTACACCCGGCTAACGCTTTACGTAGTGACTTCGTTTCTGCTAGGGCTCTTACCCAGAAGGTTGCACAACTCTCCATCCGCGCACGACATGCAAGCGTTTGTGCGGCCCGCGGTGTCTTTTGTTACGCGTAAGCTAGGGGGGGTCCGCCAACTTTTAATCGATGACCACCATTGCTCGCTGAACCCAGCTCAAACAACGGCTTTGTGGGCACGGTGGAAGCCATTAACCGGGATGCAGCGTTACCACGCCGTTTTGTAACAGGGCATTCCGCTTAACAGGGGGCCGCTGAAGCAAACTCTAAAAAACAGCAGTATCTGTGGCCGTTCTGCCTTGGTCTAGATAAACCGGGAGAGGGGGTATCGCGATTTGCTAGGTTTGCAAACCAGGACCATAAACAATCACATATGCATATGTACTTGACATGACCGAACTGAATTCCCTTCTTCGACTGGCCAACGGGCAGGGGATATTGGCTGTGAAGCTCGACATCATGTAGTGATTTGATACTGATTTCCTGCTGATGCTAATCCCACAACAGCTAAGCTGTAACATCTCACCATCTTGTTGGTACTGGCCGATTCTTGGGCACTGCTCGTCCTCACTGCAAGCGCCATCATTGCGGGAGAGGTAGGCATGAAATCACAGGCGGTGGGGATGCTGGTTAGGGTCCGTGCGCGCGCGAGAGAGAGTTATGTGCAATGCCTACTATGGAGAGATGGTGAGAGTACATTTTGTGTGACAGCAGGCAGTGCTTTCCGACATTAGGCATGGACGCTAGGTTCACAACAGCAGTCGCACAGGGGGAAGGCCGGGAAGGAGTTTGGAGGACAACCAAAAACGCGTCTGATTTCACCTGTCGCTCCTCTCTGTCCCTCTCTCCTGGTGTACTAGTAGGCCCCAAATGTGTTCGCTCTGAGAAATAGCAAATGTGCTGAGAGCTGGGTGCTCCTGCGTGTACACAACGTCAACCTCTAAACGACCTAGGACTATCTCCCTAACCGCTACAACCGTCGCAGTGGTTCCGCTGCCGGTAAGTGTTTTTTTTTTTCATGGTTCGGTTCACGAGGCGTTCACGTGGTCACGAGGCGACTAGTGGGTGTGCTGAAACCGCTGCGAACCGTGGGGGTCATGTTCGTTCGTTTTATGCAGCAGATTTTTAAAATCACAGAACAAAACAAACTTGGCCACTTACGAAGTCTCAGGACACGTTTTACGCGCGGATCGCGCACATCACTCTCGTGACAGTTTTCAAGCAGTTGGCAGCGTATGTAGTCTACTGCCTGTTGGATCTTAATTTATAGCACTTGTCTCGACGAAACTCTCTCTCGTACCAGCGAACAAACGTTGACTCCGATGTTTCCGCCCCCATGGACAGCGAGATACGAAGAAGAGCGGGGGTCAAACCTGCTAGCGTCCGCGAGAGAATTCCAAGTGAGTGGTGTGAGAAAACTGTTGTGTTGCAATGACGTTGGTGATTTGCTGTATGTAGCGGTGGTACAGGTGCGCGTTGTGGTGCTCCGTGTAGGATCAACATGATGAGCAAAGCGATCATACGGCAAGACTTTGACGAGACACAAGTTTTGTGCCCTTGTCTGCGTGCAGCGACAACAGCAAATGGAAGGGTGCTTGGCATGATGTGTCATGATCCTCTTCTATAAATGAGTGTCAATGTCAACCCACGCCTGCGCTATGCATACCTATGTGCGATACAAAATCACCGTGTGTGTGACAGGACCTGGAGAAAAAACTCCATCGACGAGGGCCTCGAGTCTTATCCCATCGATCCCATGTAGCTGGACGATCGATGCTTATCAGACCGCATTCGCACCAAGGTTGTCGGCGGTACGGGGCCAAGTCGGCCGGAGACGACGACAAGCACGCAAACACAGAAGGAATGACATGGGTGGCATCCCACACGGACCAACTAGCTCGAGACAGCTGCCTTGCCATCCCCAAGCACGCACCAAAGCCTAGTGTCAGCAGGGGCTGTAGGTTGTTTGGTCCAGCAGCCCTTCTACCGCTCCAGTCCCAGGTGGGTGGGCGTCGTTATATCTTGTGCAAGATTCCAACTATGTGATTCGACAGGTAAGAACCATCATGGTCCAACATACAGCTATTACCTTGTTCGGGCGATTCACACCTTTGAGATCTCTTAGACTTTTGGCAAGCAAGGTGTGTATAATGTCTTGATGCAAATCATCCATCCTGAACAAAACCTATAGTCTACACTCCACCACAAGCCCGGGTTTATTTGGCGAACATTGACTGTCAGATCGAGCAAACGAAGGATACTAATGACTGAGGAGGTGAACGTGACCACACAATAGCAATTGCCACCTACACAAACCACATGCCTAGACCACATCAATGGGAAACAAGCTCCAAGGATTTCCGTTCAGTCAGAAAATGCTGGATCAAGGCGTTGAGATGAAGAAAGCTCTTCCAACCAACATATTTTCGAAACATCGAAAAAAGGTGCGGGCGCGAGCGCGTTCAGAAGCAACGTCCTTGGCGAGATCAGGGAATCGGCGCACCAACAACAGCTTTGGTCAGAGGGCTAGGCGATTGCAAAGCAAGCGCTACAATCGGAATCACGCTCTTGGGTTGAAACGAACCGCCTCGAGCGAGGTGTACGGCGCTCGCCGGACAGCCTGGGGTGACGATGAGGGGGGGGGATCTGTGGTCGATTACATACGTCACACGATCGGTGCAAGGTAACAACTACGGCACCTGGCAGGACTTTGTGTCCGATGGATGTGTTCTCGTTGTTTCCTTGCTCTGGGATTGGTGCCCCATGTGCTCTGTCTCTCGCAAAATATGCGCTTGAGCCTTTCGGCGCTCTTCTGGGTCCCATGCGTTTCGATAGAGGATAGTGCACCGTGCCTCAGAAAAATTTCGGGCTGGGTTTTGCTCATGCGTCGCGAAACGCCACGTTATGGATGATCCCACGCTTTCACTCCACTGTCTCGTCGCTATGCGGGCACGCTTACGGAAGGCGTCCTCAAGAGAATCCTGAACGATCTCCGACTCCAGAGCAAGAACCAGGAGACGACCTGTCCGAGCGAACAGTATCGGAAGACTCAATTGGCACCGAGGCACTTGTCTACGATGTTGAGTGTCGAACACAACCATCTCAGCGGGGAGATGGTAGATGCCCGACACCAAGGTACTTTTCCAGATAAAGTGCCGTCTTGCGCTTCGCGCACGTTGGGCGTTGTTTCGTGGCGGCCTTGTAGTTCCTAAGACCCGTGTGGCGAGGTAGGGTGAGTGCGGCTGTATAGACCACCTTCGCGACTGTGAAACTCATCAACTTGCCAAAGGTTAAAGCTCAGGCCAGATGTCAATGATAGAGCGAACGCCGACACCAAGTGTTTGTATGTATCGACTTGACAGGGGGCCCTCTGAAGGTCCAGAAGAAAGATCTAGAGGCGGCGAAGACAGGAGGCGAGACTTTTTTCACAGGTTCCACCTCGTAGAAGACAAGAAGCAGTCCCACCCTCACCCAAACATCACCCCCGCGGAAGAGGTAGGAGTTACCGACGTTTACTTGGTGGGTTTCCTCGAGTGTCAAATGTTGGTGTCGGAATAAAAGGTTATACCAAGGAGTTGCGGCTTCAGCACCTGGACACAGGAACTGTGCCTGTCCGACCTTCACTCTTTCATGGTCTAACAATGTTTATCAGGGCTCCGACAGCTAAGTTGGACGGTTTGCTGGGCTTCGGTTCAATGAAGAACGCGTTGTCGCGGCCCTTAGCCGCACAGAACGAGACCATTCCCGGAACTGGCTGAAAAGCTCATTGCACCAACATTGAACGAATGCTCAGGGAACAGTGCGTGGTATGACGTGGAGATCGTCCTCAGACGAGTCCGCCACTAGCCGCTTGGAGAAAGCAACTGACGTGTTTCTGAGGCAGCTCTCTGACCAGGGCAGGGCGCCATGGCCAGCAATCCTCAAAACGAGCGAACAAACAAGAGCCATTGAGGTGCGAGAGACTCAATACTGTACCGAGTGCCTCCAGAGCTAGACAACACCTAGCTGGAGTTGAAGCCGAAGTACGGGCTCGAAAAATAGACATGTGGAAACAAGCGCCGCCGCAGGCCGCTTTCCGATCATCCATGTCCAGTCCGCGTAATTCTGCACCGCTGTGCAATTTGTGTGACCTTAACTACCCAAACGAATGGCTTGGGCGACATCATCCACCCATACCTCTTGCTCGGGCAAATTGTTCTCAGGTGGGAGGAATGGGACTTGGTGACGAGATTATGACCTCCCTGGCGACAGTATTGCCAATTCTGGGGAACGTAGAGCGACTGGTTGCATTCGACAACCGCACGACCGATCGTGGAACACACGCCGTCGTCAAAGCTGTGCAAAGCCTCCCACTTTGCTCCCACTTAGATTTGAGCCAAAATGAAGTGGGAGTCGACGCAGCGAATGAGCTGCGAGAGTACATGAGAAACCGGCGGTGCAAGCTGAGGTCGTTAGCTATACGCAAGGCGGATATCGACGATGATGAGTGCAGGTGACGAGTCATCAAAATGTCTTCGACCGCCCATTTATCCCAACTACCATCTGTTGGTGAGTCGCGGAACCTAAACGCTAGAAAAAAATTAAGCTTCTCTGAGTGGAACTTCACACTAGCTCCCTTGCTGTTTGCACCGGCCCTCACTGAGACAGAGAGTTCATGGCAGCCTTAGGGAGCAACATCTCTCTGCTGGAGATCGACCTCGAGGGCAATCTCATCGGGAAGTCAGAAACAATGAAGGTTTGAGCGTACTAAGCGTCCTCTCGGTTTGCTAAAGGTCGATGGAATGATAACGGCCAGGTAGTTGGGTTTCGTCGACTGTTTTCTTGTACACGGCAAAACGTTTTTGTTGGCATTGTTAGTTAGGTAGATTATTTACTACTACGTCCTGTTCTGCGTGGCCAGTCAACGCTGAAGACGACCCCATATTGTACCCGCACACGCAACGCCTAAGGAGCTGTTGAGATTTTTCTTTCATCGTCGCGATGTGCGTCTATCAACAACGCGCCCCAAAGAATACTAGCGGTGCACGTAGCCTAGCCAAGTTGTTTCACTGAAGGTTCACCTTTCCCAGAAAGACCTGAAATGAGAGCGAATGGGGATGGGTTATCTTCTACGGCGCTATGATAACTGTGTGCTGTGATATTTGAACGATAAGTACATAATGGCGGTACGATCGTGGTTGCCAACGGCAAAATTGGTTAACTTTTTTCGTAGGTGACCAGCGCTGGAGCCATAGCAGACATGCTATCGAGGAACTGCACCCTCACAAGCCTCAACTTGGGATGGAATTTCCTCCGGGGAGATTCGGCGGTGACAGTGGCGCAGTCTCTGCAGCACAACCGCAGCCTTCAATCGCTGAGCTTGGGTCACAACTCATTCTCCGACCACGCCAGCCAGGTGCAGTGGCATCCTCTACGACATGTATTTGCAAGGCGACGTTCACTGTCGTAGTATTAGTAGGTTCCCTTAATCACTCACGGCGATTTGTCTAACGGAGCTCGTCGTGCTGAAAGCATGCTTGTCTACGATCAAGAAGGGACCACCCTCTCAATTAGCTTGCAAGGGCGTGGAAAATACTGGTCGTTCGCTAATTTCTACGTTGGGCGAGCAACGGACAAGTGATTGGTTCGGTGGTTGCTTGTGGCGTAGACCAAAACACGTTTTCACCCCTTGGTCGCCTACCCTCCCCCTTTCTAATCTTTACCGGGCTAAAGATGCTGGCGGTTTCGCTCTTCGAGAATGACACGTTGTCGAGTGTGGACCTGTCATACAACTCGGTGACCCCATCGGCTGCCATGGTCCTGGCATTCGCACTGAAGGTATCAGGTTTGGCTCAGGCTGTGTACTCGGCCAGTAAAGGCCGATGAGGGATGAGTTTGCGATTCCACAGCCAATTCTAGCTTTGGAAGGGGTATTTCAATCCCCCTTCTCGGAAGGGCATGGGCCAGGGCTATGTCTTCCAGCACAGTTAGCTATCTGTATTTCGTTAAAAGTCGAACGTGTGTGCAGAGCATTTTAAGTTAGTTGACATGTGGTTTTATTGCTGGTGCTGGTGCTGGTATTGGTGCTGTTCCCTTTCGGGGCACTGTTCTCTGCATGCTTGCCGTTGCCAAGACTCTCCATGCCCACAACGACGTTTCTCCTGCATTCAGACGAACGCAACCATGAAGTACTTGGACCTTTCTGGAAATCGCATCGGACAGAACGGGGGCGAGGTGCGTGGGCTACTTCCTACGTCCTATTCTACATGGTAGCTTTTTTCTTCGAACACAGATCCGAGAAAAGGTGCCGTTTGCGTGCACTTGAAGTTGTATTGTGTTCCGGTTGCTTCGAATACACTTCATGCCGGCATCAACCCGTTGTTGTGTGGGCAGGATTACAAAACATATTCCCTACATTCTTCCTCAAAAACCGTAGTAGGAGAAAGTTCAATATGTAGACTACTGAAATGGCTCATTTTGCTGCCCCCCCCCCCCTTCTCTGAAGATTAAGCCGGACGAGGCGAAGCAGCTAGTGACCCT